TTGGCCAGACCTCGCTCATTGAATTACTTTAACCCAGGAAACTGTTCCCGTCAGGAGACGCGGTTTAATGTGGGCAAGTGATAGAGTATTTACCCTTCATTTAAACTCACTATAAAACTAAGGCCTGTGGGAAACAGAACTAGGATTTCAAAAGGATCCACTGCTTGGAGGACGTCAGATTTTAAAAAAACTGCATAACCCTCAAGGCATTGCGGCGGGCTGGGCATTTGGATTGGATCAATCATAGTACGGAAGAGGGCCAGGCCTTCTCGGGGGAGGGACTTCCGGTTATTTCCCGTGCGTCATCTTCCGGCGCCGGAACGATCCTGATTGAGTGCTGGCTCCTTGTCTTGGGAGGTGCAGGCAAGGCTGGGAGGAGCCCGTCCAAGGTGTCTTTCACCCAGCTGCCAGCGGCGCCCAGTGTCTCGTTCACGTCTCACATGGAGGCAACTGAAGCTGGGAACAAGTCCGTCCCCCAAGATCACCTGCCCAGGCTGGGGAGGCGCTGGAGGTCGCCGGCCCCTCGGCCCCCGGCGTCCGCGATGGCGGCTGTGCAGGTGAGTGGACGAGGGTTGTGGCTCCGCGGTTCCTCTGCTAGTCAGAGAGGCTGAGCTCAAGACGGCCCGTATGTCTGTTGATCGTCATTTAATTCCTGAGAGGTGGCCGTGGTTTGTGAGTTGTTTCATCCCCACTTTTCCAGGAAAGGAAGCTGTTGGGTGAGTGCAACTCCTTCGGTGTCAGCTTACACTTCTCATGCACCTTGTTGCCTTGGTTCCTTGCCCCCTACCCTGCGTCCTCCATGACCTGGTCTTGGTTTCTCCTGGTTCCTTGCTCTCGAAACCCAGGAGCCTGACCACACGAAAATCTCTTCTGCTTTGCAGCCTTGTCCTAAACTCGGCCTTGCCGGGGACGCTGCCTCTGAATCTACATGGCGTCCCTTTCTGCTCTGATCAGAAACTGAGCACCTTGCCCATCATCAGTAGCCTGTTGTTATCCTGTTCTCTACTGAGTGCATGGGGAGGCCTGGAGAAGTCATCTAAAGTAAACTGCGAGTCGAGCGAGTCTCGTTCTAGACTGTAGTGTTGGGCACATGGCCTATCAGGCAGGGAGACCAGTGTCACTCAGGAAAGGTACACTGGTTTAAATGGAGTCCTCAGGGTACCTGTGGGTTTTGCCCCACCTGCTGACTGAGTGATTGAGATTGTGATTTCCTCTTCTTGCCATAATGGAGATTGAATCGAAGTCGTTATGAATGCCAGACAAGTACTTCTATCTCAAATGTGTGCGCCCTCTCCCCTCTGTCCTCTCCAGTTACTGGGGATCGAATGCCTGTATGTCTTTTATTAAGTTGGTCAAGTTCACCTAGCACTTGTGATCTTCCTGCCTCAGCCTCTTAGTTAGCTGGGATTCCAGGATTGCACCACCACACCTGGATATGTAGTCTTTCGATGGATGTTACTTCCTCTTACCCAGGAGGGAGGTACATGATGGCCTGTCCATATGCCAGGTTCTCACGGCCATACTGTCTGTCCTGTTCCCTACTGCAGAAGTATTCTAGCCTCAGTGATAAATCCTGACAATATTCAGGTAGGGAAAATAAGTAGTGGCTTATTTTGAATTCTCCGTGGGCAACTGTGGGGTCCAGAAGGAATATAGAAGACCTCACAAGCTTGTCCAGGCCCTAACCCTTCACAGACAGATACCACTACATCAGGTATCTCTTTAATGAGATGGGTCATGATGGTGCTCCACTTTTGCCCAAGTCCTCAGAAATATTTTCAGAAGTGGCTGATAAGGATACAATGGGGAAACTTATTTGCAATGCATTACAATCTCATTAACCTTGAGTTAACTTTGCTCACAGGAGAATGTCATTTCTTCACGAGTAGGTTGCCCACTGGAGGGTCCTGTATTCAAATCCTGTCTCTTTCATATGCCATGTAAGTTTGTGTGAACTTGTAGAACACCCTGGACCTTGGTGTGGATTTTAAATGGAGATGATGATGGTGTTGACTTCTGGGGCCGTGGCCTATCACCCACCCATGTTTTTGTTATAAGTATGTTTTCCTCTCATTTTGAGAGTAAATGGAAAGGTGGAAAATGGATCTGAGACAGAGGCCCAAATCAAGAAGGGCCCACCAATGGTCACACAACAAGCAGATACTGATTTCTGGAGTCTGGCTCTTGAGTTGAGGGTTCTTGTCACTTTACCATGGCACACGGAAGGAGCCAAGCACACATTGAGGACCAGTAAGACGGAGGTGCTGTTGCTGTGTCTCTGTATTGTTGTTATTTTTACCTATCTCTCGGTATCTCTGAGCACTTGCTCTGTGTGCCATATAGTCCACCAGGGATTGTCTTAAGCTTGTCTCAGTCTGCAGTGACATCCTGCCTATGAAATTTCTCTCAAGCACACTGCTGTAATCTGACCATGCAGCACCCTCCTTATACTGAAGCATAGCACAGAGCTCAGTCCTCTTCTGGGGGTGCTTGGTGATTTAGTTCTTGGTTGTGTGCATCTTTTGTTGTGCTTAAGTGACAGTCTCATTCTACCACCAGTCCCAAGTTCTGCTTCCTGTGTTTGACTTCCCAGGTGGCTGTGACATTTGAAGATGTGGCTGTGAGATTCACTCAGGAGGAGTGGGAGCAGCTGGACCTTTCCAAGAGGACCTTATACTGGGAGGTGATGCTGGAGACCTGTGGACTTTTGACTGCTGTGGGTAAGGCTCCCCTTGGCCATCTGGCCACTGGATCCTCTCTCCCTCTACTCTCAGAGTCCAGGCCAGGCCAGTCATCAATGCTTCTGGAAATGCCTTCCTTGCTTTATAATTTCTGTCATTTCCTTGCATTTACTTCTTCTTTCTTGATCTCTTCGTGTCTCATTTAGCAAGATACGGGAGACAAACAGTCCGTGTTTGGGTACAAAGAAGAGGGATACATTGGAAGGACATGAAGGTGTTGTTCAGAACCAAAGCTAGGGATGCAAGGCTGGGTCAGCATTTGTAACTCCAACCCTCGAGGGATGGATGAAATTCCTGGGAAGGAGCTCGGTTGTACCTGGCTCTAGGTCTCTTGTCCTAGTTTTTCTTTGTGGGTCTTCCTGTCCTTCAGCCTCATTTATTTTGTGAAAGGTGGTTAGGTAAGTTGTGAGGCTAACACATTCCCTGCTCTCATCATCTTTCTGTTTACATTGTTTGTTCACACTGCACTCTTTTAACTCTTCTGGCAACCTGATGAATGTGGAAGCTTTTGCATTGACTCTTCCCCATCTTGAAGTTACATACTAGATGAAGAGGATTCTTTTTCCCACCAATCTCTGTGGCTCCTTTCTCCATGTACAGGCTGTCCTTTGTCCAAGTCAGAGCTTATGTACCAGTTGGAGCACAGCCAGGATCTATGGACAGCAACGGAAATCGTCTCCCAAAGTTTTCATTCAGGTAGGTGCCAGCCACTGGCTGGGCAGCAGCTAACAGATTCACTGATGACTCCTGCCTCTGAACTCTGGAAATTGTTTTTTGGTGGCCTCTGAGGCAGTGGGGCCTAGAAGCCTTTAACCTGAGGTTCCCTCTGGCCTCCGTATTTCTCAGGCCTTTCACAGGCTACTGCCCCTGGGAAGCTGCAAGGCATAATACAGAAGTCAGCTCCTGACTTTGCTTGGGCTTAACAAATAGCTTTGACATGAAATAGGCTTGTGAACTTGGGGAAGTCACCTCACTCACTGTCCCCTTATATTTCAGTCCAGCAGCGGTAAATCTAGCCAACAGCTGTGCTTCTGTTGTAATCTCATTGCCTTAGAATACAGAACATAGGACCATGGGGGTCAGCAGGCAGCTCGCTGTCACACAGGGATTCTTGTAGCCATTGCCTGCTGTCCACAGCATAGGGGCTGAGATATCCCTGGCCACCTCCATCTGGCAGAGGGGAGATGAGGAAATAAAGATCGCTGTTTCACCGTGTACTGCTTCCCCTCAGACTTGCTGACAACACATTGAGACACACTCAGCTGCAGGGACTGCAGACTGTGCTGAAGCTTGTGTTCGAAAAGAACAGATGGCACACTTCAGAGCCAGTGTCTCTTCCCTTCAGTGTTCCTTTGGCTGTGTTGTTATTTCTCATCCTCTTCTCACAGTCTTGACTGTGTGTGGGGTCTCTACTTCAGAAACTCTTGTCATCTGCCCTGGCCCTATGAGTTTTCTTTCAAAAGTCTCAAGAATCTGGTGCCGAGTTGTGTTGTACAGTATTTCTTTGTAAGTTAATTTTCAATATGTAGAAATGACTTTGGTATTGCCAGTATTGCCTCCTTTTATCACTGAAGCATTTCTGACTAGCAGTGTGACAAAGTACTAGATGAGGTTTTTCTTGGTTAATAATAAAAAACTGTGATGTATGAAAACAAGAAGTTTCAAGAGTCCTAAGGAAAAAGAAAGATACTACAAAACTGGGTTTCTTAGATTTCAAATCATTCCAGGAGTAGAGTCTTGCTTTTTATCTTATTCATACTGAAATGCTGATTTTCTTTCTCTGGAGTTGCTCTCACTCACAGTCACTTTTGTGTATTGTATTTTCTTCAGGTGATAGCATAAAACCTAGTACCACGAAGCCCACATCTTCTTACCAAGCCTGGCCTGAGGGAGGCTTGCTTCATGATCGTCAGACTGTAGGAGCCTCTGGGGACACCCTTTTGGGGCCACACCGGGGTCAGGATGGGCCCTGCGATTTGCAAGACGGATTCCTGAGACTAGGGACAGAGGTCCCAAGGGAGAAGATTCCTGGGAGTAGAAGCCCTGGACTTGGTGGCATGGGTTCAGCTGATAGTGTGTGTTCAAGGTCTGTGCCAGAGCACATCTCTTCATACCCCGCTTCATATGTCTGTGACTCCCGTGGATCGGCTTCTGATCACTTGGTACATGAAGGAAAAAATCCCTTTAAATGCAAGGAGTGTGGGAAACTGTTTAAGAAGGAGCAGTTCCTCCTTCGCCATCAGTGGGTTCACATGATAGTGAGGCACTATGAGTGCACAGAGTGTGGGAAGTCCTTCCGCAAGAGCACTCAACTCCTCCAGCACCAGATGGTCCACACCGGAGAGAAGCCCTATAAGTGCCTGGAGTGTGGGAAGGCCTTCAGTCGTGGGACTCACCTTAGTCGGCACCAGCGAACACACAGTGGAGAGAAGCCTTATAAGTGCAGTGAGTGTGGACAGACCTTTGCCTACCGCTCCACAATGATTTTGCATAACAGGATCCACACTGGAGAAAAACCCTTTGTGTGCAATGAGTGTGGCAAGGCCTTTCGAGATAAAGCAGGTTTCACTCGACACTACTTCATCCACACGGGAGAGAAGCCCTATCAGTGCTCAGAGTGTGGCAAGGCCTTCAACCAGCGGTCATACCTCACGTGGCACCAACAGATTCACACCGGAGTGAAACCTTTCCAATGCAATGAGTGTGGGAGAGGATTTGGCGAGCGTTCCGCCCTCATTCACCACTATGTCACCCACACCGGGGAGAAGCCATATATGTGTCTGGAGTGTGGGAAAGCCTTCCACCGAGGATCATACCTCAAGCAGCATCAGCGCATCCACACTGGGGAAAAGCCTTATGTGTGTGGTGAGTGTGGAAAGGCCTTTGTCCACCGCTCCACATTCATTTTGCACAAAAAAGCCCACACTGGAGAAACACCCTATGAGTGCAAAGAATGCGGGAAAGCCTTTAGCGACAGGGCAGACCTCATCCGTCACTTCAGCATCCACACGGGAGAGAAGCCGTCTGAGTGCATGGAGTGTGGGAAGCTTTTCAACCACAGGTCAGGCCTCACCAGGCACCAGCGGATTCACAGTGGGGAGAAGCCCTACAAATGCATGGAGTGTGGGAAAACCTTTTTGCGGAGTGCACACCTCATCCGCCACTCTTTCATCCACACAGGAGAGAAGCCCTATAGGTGCAGTGAATGTGGAAAGGCCTTTACCTGCAACTCTTCCCTCACACAGCATCAAAAGAGGCACATGAAGAAGAACACTGCTAATGTCATAGAGGAGGAAAAATCTATCACAAGTGTGCAACCCTCTGCCAAAGTTGAAGGACTCGTATTAGGGAAAGAGTTTCTTCATATAACCACTGAGGAACATCACTGGTCAGGGGAATCGCCTAACGTGGCTTCAAGTTATTCATACCAGGGAGAAACTCAGTTGCCACCATCTCTATGAAGAAAATTAATAATTATTTGTCACCTAAAGAGTCATGTTTGAAATTGACCCAGTCTGTAGTCTTCTACATCTGAGAATTCACCCAAGAGAGAGTTCAGTTGCTATTGTGGTTGTTTGTTAAAGTTCTCAACTATATCTTCAAGTGTATTTTGAAATTTTATCTCAGGGATAGTGTGGTTTTGTTTGCTTTTTTTGTGGTACTGGGGATTCAATCCAGGGACTTGGCAGTGAGCTACATCCCTAGCTTTCTTTTTTATTATGATACAGGGTCTTATTAAGTTGCTAAGTTGCCTAGGCTGCACTAGAAATTTTGATTTCTTCTGCTTTATCTTCCCAGAGTGCTGAGATTACAGGTGTGTGCCACCTCACCTGGTTTCTACTAAAATATATATTTTAAAAATTTTATATATTTATTTATTTTGGGAATGGGTCTTGCTTTTTAGTTCAGGCTGGTCTTGACAGTAAGCTTCCCTCAGTTTTCTGAGTGCTGGCATTTCAGGCATTTGCTGCCATGCCCAGCTCTTCTAAAAGTTTTAGTTTACCTTTTTAACTTCTGGTCCATATTAAGGCAATTTTTGTATTACCGTACCATAGGTTGAGTTTCTTTCGTTACTGAGAAATTCTTTTGTTCTAGCACCATTTATTATAAAGACTATTCTATGTTTATTGAATTACTTTTGTGTCTTGGTCATAAACAACTGAGCATATTCATGTTGGCTTATTTCTGCATTTTCTATGTTACTGAACTGGTTTTCTGTATTTATTGGCAGAGGCCAAAACCTCTGTCCATGACACACTATCTTGTGCAGCTGTCAAGTACATAAAATGATTCTATCCTTGTTCTGGTAAAAATTGTTTTGTCTTTCCGTATCAGTTTCACTCTTATGGCTTTGTTTCATTTTTAGCCTGTATTTGTATTCTTAGGAAGTATCTTGCTGGTATTGTAGAAATTACTGTGAATCTGTATAGTAGGTTCTTTTGATGATAATCAAAAAGTTTTATATGTTGAGCCTTCCAGTCCATGAATGGTCTCTTTTTCTTCTAAATCCTGTTTCATTTATTTCATAAATGTTTTGTAATTTTCATGTAATAACCCCTGGACATATTTTTTTTTCCTTTTCCTTTTTTTTGGGGTGGGGGTAGTATTGGGATTGAACCCAGGGCCTCATCCAAGCTTGAACCAAATCACAGCGATTTTTGAAATTTTTGAGACAGGTGAAATTTTGAGACAAGTTGCCCAGGCTGGTCTAGAACTTGTGTTCCTCTTGTCTCAAGCTCCAGAGTGCAGGTGTGCACTATCACCCTGCTTGAATTTATTGTAGATACCTTTGTGAGGCCATTTTATGTGACATTGACAGGTTTGTTTTGTTTTTCGGTGGTTGTTAAAGAGATGTTGTCTCTCTGTGTTGGTTATGCTGGCCTCTAACTCCTGGGTTTAGGGGATTTTTTTCATTTCGTCCTCCTGTGTGAGTAGCTGAGATAGCAGGTATCACTTCACCCAGCTTCATACTGTTGTTTCCATAAGATCATTTGTAAAACCGGAATATATTTGTTAAGTGTTCACCTTGCATTATATAATATTGCCTAACTCAGTTTTTTAGGTCTACCGGTATTTAAAAATATATTCCTCAGAATTTTCTTTCTAAATAGTAACATTAGCTAATAACGAACCAGTTTCTAGGCTTCATGACTTTCTGTCATTGTACTTCAGGATCTTCAAATATGATGTTAAATAAAGGGAAAAAATATTCTTTATACTTGTGTGGTTGATGTTTGTGGAAAATATTTAGTGTTGAGCATTAAACATAGCTCTTTGGTTTCATGTAGATGATAATGTAATCTAAAAAGCTTCTTTCCTAAATTGCTGAAAGCATATATTAAGAGTGAGTTTTATGGGCTGGGGATTTAGCTCTGGTTCCGCTGCCTGCTTCGCAAGCACAAGGACCTGAGTTCAATCCCCAATACCAAAAAAAAAGTGAGTTTTACAGTTATGTAGCCTGTTTTCATGTGGTGCCTCTTGATATGATGGATTGCTTTGACTTAGTTACAAATGTTGAGCTAGGCTTGTATTGCTTCAATAAATTCCCCCATGTTTAGAGAACTTTGGTACATAAAATCAAAGTGCTGTGTTTGGTCAAACCTGCTATAGTTGCTCCACTGTGGTGGAAGGGTAGTTCCCACAAAAGAAAGTCCTACAGAATCCTGATTTAGCTGGTCAGGATTCCCAAGAATGGAGCGCTAAACCCCAGGACATTCATGTACATCAAAGACTCTCTTGATTCCTTGAGCTCTACAGTTTTTTGGTCCTGACTAAGTTGGTTTCCACATATTTCATTTCCAGGTACTCTAGAGAATGTATTTTGCTGCCCACCTTTCTCCATTTTTAATCTAGAGCTAGTATTGAGTGAATCCTCGTTTCTTCAGAAGTGATGGGCAGTACAGACTTGAGATGCCTGGAACAGACCCTATGGAGACATGATGCTGGATACTAGGCAAATCTGGTCTCTTTGCTGTACATCAAGCTTAGCTGTTGTGTAGACTATCGTTCACAGATGGCCTTTCTCCACTGTAGGAAATGGGGCTGCCTCTGAAACGCTCAGTGGTACAGTACTTCAGTTTTGAGGAATGAAGACAATGCTCGGGCTGGGGATTTAGCTTAGTGGTTCCAGTGCCTGCCTCGCAAGTATGAGGACCCAAGTTTGATCCCTGGTACCCCCCCCCCAAAAAAAAAAACAACCAAAAAAGACAATGCTCACTGATTTTTTAATTTTTGTGACCAAAACCTGTTTATGTTATGCAATTCATAATTTAATTTCTCAGCTGTATTGTCAAATGGCCAGTTTATTTTGCCTCCTTTGGAACAGTACACAGGGTATGGGCCTGGCAGTAGAACTCTATATTTCTATCTCCTTCTTTTTGGTACCAGGGTCGAACATGGAATCTTGCATTTGTGAGGCAGGTGGCAGCACCACTGAGCTAAATCCCTGGCCCCGTTTCTATCCTTAATCTGAATTACAGGATAACTTTTCTCCCCCTTTGTTTTGTTTTTGTGTTTTTGAGACAAGGTCTTACTATGTAGTTCATGCTATCCTTGAACTCACTATATAGCCTAGGTGTCCTTGAGCTTGCATTGATCCTGCCTCAGCCTCTGAAGTACTGGATTTATAGGCATGTGCTATGACATCTGGAATACAGAAAAACTTAGATAATTCATATCTATACTCTCCGTTTAATTTGGAGATGTATTCTGTTTTGGGAAGTGGACCTCACTGGTCCTACAGAGGCTGCCCATTCTAGAGCTACCCAATTCCAAGTAGTAGCAAAGAACTTCCCTCAGTGTTTTCCTTTCATATGCAAACCAAACACTTCCAGAACCTCAGTATTTCAACTGCTTTTATGAAGTTCTCACAAATGGAGGAACTATCTGCCATCACTAACCCGTTAAGGGCCAGATATCAAGTAATTAGGGACAGACTTTACTGAAACTAATCATAGGGAAGAAGGCTGAGGAGAAGGGGAAGGGGAAACGAGAAGAAGGAAGATGTGCCGTGTACAGGAACCTAATAACACCAATTCATGTAAACACTATGCTGTAACGAGCTAAGACTAATAAGTACGCAAAAGGATATTGGGGAAATCTAGGAGGAGGGGGATGGAGGGAAGGGGAAGGGAACTTTTTAAAAAGCTGTATTAGGGCTGGGGATTTAGCTCAGTGGTTCCATTGCCTGCCTTGAAAGCAAAAGGTCCTGAGTTCAATCCCCAGTACCTCCCGCCAAAAGCTGTAATATGGACATGTAACCACTCTCCATGATATTGTAAACTGCATGGATTGCAAACACATACTAATAAAAAATGTGAAACCTACCTAATTTATTCCCGTGATCATTCCTTGCTGCAAAAGCACAATAAAGAGTCTTGCCCTTGCTTTTCCCTTACTGCTGTTTGACCAACCCTTGTACTGTACATCCCCACCTGGCCCAACATGCCACGATGTGTGCTCTACCTCTTGGCAACTTTAACAGGTATCTCTTCAGTGTAACTGTCTTGTGTTCTTTTAGCCTCACCATATTTGAATAATAAAAATTGACACTTAAAACTACCATATGAATTAATGAGGTGCTAAGTTTTAAGAATTAAGCAAAGAAAATCAGCCATTTTCACGTAATTTAGAAAGCACAGAGGTCAGTGCACCAAGCAAGACAAGGTACAGCACCATGAATGCAGGTGGGGTCAATGCCAAGACAGGCTGTCGAAGTGAAATAGTCGTAACCAGATAAAGACCACTGAGGTAGTAGGTTTCCAGGGATCTGAGTGATTGGAATTTTAGAAGTCAGTTCCACAAGCCCTTGTCATTGCCTGATAAAGGGCCAATCATAGCACATAAAGATTCTTCAGAAGTCTTTTCTCCACCACTTTGACCGTTGAAGGAGGAAATGGCCTTTTTCTGTGCCATGTCGTAGGCCTGCCCATACAATTTGTTTTCTGGATTATCACCCTTTCACCGGCGACTCTACTCGTCCTTTTGGTACTCTTGCGCGCTTTTCCTGCCATCAGGTAAAAACACTCTCAAGTTGGAAGTACTAGTGTCTTTGTATCTCTTTCATCCTCGCACTTACTTGTAGTGACTACACGTTTAGACTGTCCATTCATCTTAGCCTGTCATCAAAACCACTTACAACACTGTCGCATGAGTATTTGCTGCCTCTTTTCTTTCCCCAGACGCCCTTGAAAAGTTCATCTGTAGCGACTCAACTGACTGAGACCAGGAAGCCACAGACTAATCTA